ATGAAGTTATTTATTTTATATTATATATTGTAATATTTTTTAATTTATAGATTATAGATACGGGAAATGCTATGGTCTCGTTAAGAAATTATCTCGTCGGGAGTTTTAACCATTGGATACGCATGTAGTTAATATAAGATAAATGATCTGACGGGACCGTAGCATTTTCCGATAGATACATGCGTGTATAAAAATTATAAATAGCTAGGTGGTGCTTGGATATAAATTTTAATTGAATATTTTCATTCACAATTCAAATTTAATTCATTTTTAACTATTCATTCATTTGCACAATTTTAACTACCCATTATTCTTAATTATTTTTTTCTTATTTTTACATCAAAAAAACTTTAATTATTTTATTTTAAATATTATTTTATACAATTTCAAAATTCCATTCAAACTTATCTCAACAAACTTTTTAGTTAACTCAAAAAAACCAAGACATGTAATGAAAAAATTATACCAAAGCACACCCTTATGGTCAAGTCTATCTAATAATGACATTACTCATTTAGAATAAGATGTTATATTCTAAGGTCATCTCTAGCCCTTATTTCTACTCTAGTGTTGAGATTACTCTACTTTAGGGTAAAGTTAAACAAAAAGCAAATTTCATCTCCAACCGTTCGAGCGCTACATTTTATTCTACACCAAATATTTTTTTATTCTTATTTTTTAAATTATTTTAATGTAAAACTATAATTTCATTAGATATATTTACACATTTAACTATTTAAATTATTATTATAAAAATTAATAAAAATATAAATAAATGCAAAACATTTGTATAAATTTACAACGTATCAATTATTTATTAAAATATTCACTAAGATTGAAAATATATATATATATATAATTTAAGTCGTAGAAAATAATTTTTTAATGTTATTCATACTCATATTATTTGTCGAACCATTATCAGATATTAATATTTTACATATCTTGATCTATTGTAAATAAAGATTTAGTGAAAATATGTATTATGTTGATTATAGAGTAGCCCCTGGGGCATGTAGTCCCATGGCTGATGGTGGAAGTGTAAGAGTTGTGGATGCTAGAGGTCGTAGGATCGAACCCAACTTATCG